GCAAACCAGAATGAATCTGCGAGGCATATCACTAGCTGGACCTTAGTGCGACTGAATGGAACCACACAACGTCCATAGTACCAATACCACTCTGGAGTCTACACCCAGAACCCTGCTGCGTGTACCAAGATTTGTTCTCACACCGGCATCCCCAACTCCCTCCTCCTCCCCTGCGTCTCGCGCCTCCACGGAATAAACTTGTCATGCCACGTCCCATACCGATAACTCCCCGGCGCATCCCCCCAATACCGCATATTCGCCAACATGTACCCCAAATCCAGCGTCTCATACATCTTCCCGTTTAACCAAACCTCCACAACGCCAACATTCTCAAACAATATCTTCCCGTAAAACCAAGTCCCAATGAACGTCGCATCCCCAACGATCCAGTCAAGATATCTCAGGAAATAACACATCAACCTCGCCGCAGCTTCCATGCCAGGGTCATCCGCACATTCCGCTCGCAGGTCATCGCGCAGCGGGAAACACTCCGTCGGGACCTCCTCCCTATCCCGCGCACGGCGTCTTGGCCTAGCCCACGGCGCCACCGGCAGCAGCTCCCCAGCGCTACCCTCCGCTCGCACAAAATCCAGAACGAGCCGATTCATGGATATCGGCTTTCCACAGGGCCCGCGCTCTGCGGATCCTAGCGTGTTTTCTAGCAGAACTATCAAGGAATTGCTAACCCAGTGGAGATCAAAGGTTTTTGGGACTCCAACTGCTAGGTCGTAGTCGACGAGGGGCGGGAACGAAAAGATGCGGAATTGTGCGTGGAGCGTGTCAATGTGGGAGGTGCGGGTGGGCACCGAAAGCCAGGTTAGCCAGAAGGTCCCATTATCTTTAAGGTAGACGATGTCGGCGTTGTAGTTCAGGGGTTTTGGGTCGGTGGCGGGGAAAACGCGACGGAGTGCCTCTCGGGTTTCAGTATGGAGCTGGCGGTTGGCGAGGAGGAGAGATAAGGCGGGGTTGTTGGGAGGTTTTGCGGGGTAGAGGATGCGATGGTAACGTGTGTCGGGTTCGCGCCGCTGGTCAAGAAGATCACTTGATGTTGGAGGGATTGATTGGGGGCTCTGGATGACTGAGAGAATGATCATATCTCGCACCTCGAGGGGAAGGCCGAGGAGGGACGTCGATGAGGGCGACATGATGAGAGCTGAGTTCCAAAGGCAGTATTGCAGGTTGAAAAGTGGGGGTTCGGGGCTTAAGTACCGCTGCGGCGCAAAACATACGCGCTGTTGCCTGGTGTGTTTATTGAGTCTTTAATTGGTGAGTGTCGGGGGTCGGATGTGGTGCCAAGGCCCCACCCCTCCGAGCCTTCTTCTAATCACTTCAGCGCTTTTCAACACAGAAGAGGCCCCTGTGAAGCATGAGAAGAGCCCTTGTTGGAATGCAAAGAGGCGTACACCAGTTTCGATGGAGAGGGGTACAAAAGATGTCAAAATGGCTTGATTCATTTGTACTTGTATTGATGCCTGTATGACTGTATGGTACGCTTCCTAGCAGAAAATTCATGCCCTAAACCGCAATTAAAACGACTCGCTGATCGACCTCAACACGTCCTTCAAACACCCCCACGCCTAAGCTTCAGTCCAGATCCCACCGCCAGGCCGTACCGTTTGCATTCCTCCACAGTGAAAAGACCTAGCTGCACCCTTATTATTACCTCGTCCTTCGGGCGTACAGCCCCCTTGTACTTTCCATTCCCCATGGGTGCCCACTAGCACTTCACATGCAACGGCAGGCCCAGCGGCGTATTTGCCCCCTCGATGACCTGGTCGGGCCGCACTTGGAGAGGGGTGTCGCATCCGTTGACAAATCCGCCGAGCCACATGAAGTCCAGCCTCGGAGGGTCGCCCGGGATTCTTTTGACGGTTGCTGGTATCTTTTCCACCACGGCCATGACATGACCTTTGGGGTGTTTGATCGAGAGGGGGACCCCGTTCTTCCAAAAGAGGTCCGCGATTGTGACCTTGGCGACGAGTGGAGGCACTGGATCGAGGACGTGGCGGCCGATGTCGAGGACGTGGAAGAATGGTTCCAGAGGCTTGTGGTAGTCTAGTGGTGGGTGTAGTCCTATTTCCATGTACGCAGGGCGTTGAGCGTTGCGGCCTTTACGGCGTTTAGGTTTGGCCAAGGAGGTCCTGTAGGAGCGCGAGGAATCCATGCTGCAACCCCAGATCATGTCAGCGGCGAGTTCTGGACAGACCGACGGAAATGCAACTTGGCTCAACTTGCGCGATATTGAGTCGTAGGTAGTGGGTAGCAGGGAGGTCGCACCGAAAATAGTGACACTGCTCCAAGAAAAGGATGGCGAGGGAGAAACCGAGGGAGTGTTGGTTGTCAGAGGGAAGAGCGGCACTGCTGAAATGACGTGGACGGACGAGCTTGAGCACCCACCGCCGTGGGTGACGAAATTGGTTGGAATTTTTGTCCAGTGACGGGTGCCCTAACAGTGGCCTATAGGTCCCCGAAGCGAACTGCAGTGAGCTGAAGCCTGGCAGGATACAGCAGCCGATTTTCTTCCCTGTGTTGCTGCCCGCGGAAAGAGCAACCCTCATGGTCGGAATTGGCCGGGGTGGCGGACGGCCAGGGATGGAATCCTGCCATATCAGGAGCTTCGAAATGTCGAGATAGGAGTAAATAAAACCTTTCTGAAAGTTTTCGCCTGTCACCGGGGTCCCAATGATGCTGGTGTTTACTTCAGCTTCATTAGTGAAAAGGGGGATGGGGTTGGGCTGCCAGCTGGCGTCAGTTGCCAAGCCAATTCCACATGCCACGTTGGAGAACTCCATCGCGCCCATTGCTGCATCTCCAATTGACCACTGTCGCATGACACCAACCACCACCAAAATGCCACGCCCGGCCGCCACCGCACAATTGCGCTAACTCTACTCACCGCGCCCACCATGTCACCATCGCGACCGCGCCCGCTGCTTTTGCAGCTCCTCCTCTTCCTCGCCGCGCTCACCCTCGCCGCGGCAGAAACCGTTCTCCCTTCGTACCACTACGGCGCCCCCATCCGCGTCGAATGCATGAACCGCTCCTCGTGCGTCCTCCATTTCCTGTTCTCCCTTAACCTAATACTCGCTTGCTAACCAAAGACTGCTGCTGCAGAGAAACCGGCGAACACATCGAATCCCCCTCGACCCACGAAATCCAATGGATCCCCTTCCCCACCTGCGCCGAAACCTCCCTCCCGCTCGAATTCCACTACGGCATCGAAACCGAGCTCAACTGCACCATCCCCATGATATCCGACCCCTTCTTCCACCTCCTCGAATTCTACATCCACTCCGACGCCCCCCTCTCCTGCCGGCTCCCCGCGCGTCCCGCTCCGCACATCGAAGTCGTAGGCGAGGAGCCGCCGGTGCAGGAGTACATCCCTCTTGTGTTTGCGTTGGCGGGGACTTTGCAATTGAGTCATATGCATATTAGCACGCATATGAATGTGTTGCTGCATAGCACGCCAAAGCATCATATCCAGCCGAGGGATAGCGGGGTGTTGGATTCCGGGACGGCGTACAGCACGAGTCCGTTGACGCACATGGAGGGCGGGGCGACCAAGAGGTTGGTGATTGGGGATCCGCTGCCGTTGAGCTTTAGCGTGAGGTGGTTTCCCACGCCGGCGTTGCCGCGCGTGGAAGGCAAGGTGGAGTGGAGTGGGATGGGAGGACATATTTATGCGAGCACGGTGTTTTATAGCATTGTGAGCTTTATGGCGGGGGCGGTGTTGTCAGGGGTGTACTTTTTTGGGTCGGTGCTGCCGAGGAGGTTGAGAGGGAGGGGGATGGGAGGGGCGACGCCGTTGGGGGCGATGGGGGTGGGTAATGGGTGGGGGTATCAGAAGAGGGCGATGGATTAGGATGGTAATGGTAAAGAACAGATGTGTTTCTTGTATTTACTTCTTGCACGGATACCATGGGACGGAGTTGGGGTTAGCGTTGCCGCAACATGTATTAGATGGCTTTGCTCCGAGCAAGTAGCGCTCTCATTCCCCGTCGTTTGACCGTCTTGGCTATCACATCTATTGTCCCTTCTTCGCGGCGAGCGCTGCATCGGCCACCCTGATGCGCGCGAGGATCCTGCTGACCATGGTGAGGAAGATGAGGGAGGCTGTCCCGTTAGCTTCACCCCTCGCCAGAAGCAGGGGCTTGACTCACGAATGACGACCCACGGCGCATACATCTGGAACAGTATCTTGTTCTTCTGCTCGGCCGTATACACATCGTTGTCCCAGTAAAAGACATCATGCATTGCCACAGCAGTCGTAAAGGCCGCCTCGAACCCATAAACCAACAGCGCCAGCTCGTGTGCGCCAGATGTGCCCTTGCGCTGAATGCCTAGGCGGTAAACGGTGAAGAGCATGACGGGCAGCGCCAGCACCATCTCAAAGTACACAAACAATCCCATCCAGCTGTCATGACCCGATGCGGTCTCTGGCGTCCATTGCACAATGGGATCGTTGGTCTCGGCGATGTATTGCTGCTTCAAGCCGTGGAAGAAGTGCAATGGAGACCCCGTGGGCTGGTAAAGCGACTTAGGATAAAAGTCCAGGCCATCAATCACTGCATGGGTGAGCGCGCATGTTTGCTAGGACGGGACTCGGGGGGCACCCACAGAGGATGATGGGCAGCTGCAGGATGCTCCAGATGAGAAAGACGGTATTGAGTCCGCTCTTGTTGTAGGTCGCCATCTTGGTATCCCGTGTCAACAGCCGCGTGATGTGCGATGATCAATTAGACGTGTTTGAAGCAGAGTGAAGTTTCTGTGAGCGGAGCGCGAACCCCTGCGATATCGTCAGCACCCTTCGCGAACCCCTGAAATTATGCCCCACCCTGTCGGGAATGGCGCCGCACGAATTTGCGGGGTACGGAGAACGGATGTCGGGACTCACCCGATCTCGTCAAATACGCAAACCTGAACCAAACGATTGCTGACGAGGTGGCAGAGCAAAAAAAGAAAGCTCGCTCTGAAATGTGTCTGGTGCAAAAAATGAAAGTTGACGAGAGTGGGATTCGAACCCACGCCCTTTCGGACCACGGAATCACTCTCGAGAGATTGATGTTATTAAGGAAATCCTTAACGTGGCGCCTTAGACCGCTCGGCCATCTCGCCTTTGGTGCATATGATAGGGAGAAATGGAATTCAAGACGGCTCGGGGAGTTGCGGGTGTTCGGGATTTGAGAATTTGTGTGTGCGGGGCAAGTGGACTTGACCGCGGGCCGAGACGCACAGACCATCCTGGGCCCGATTAAATGCATACTCTCCGATTGGTGCATCTCCCCTTTTCCAACGTTCAGCTGACATGTTCTCCCGAGGTCCTGATCTCTACGCCCGCTCACACTCCCACTGATCGACACAACGGGCTGTTATAGTGACATTCGCCCCACTCAATCCAGGCGAAGTCACCATTACAGTAAACGGGCCGCCCGAGCCCCTCTTTGCGCGCACAATGCCAAGAGCCATGCCGCTGAAGGCCTTCCTCTCCTTCGACGGGAAGGCAGCCATATCGTACGGATCCCCATTATCCGTCGCCACAATCTGTCCTGCTCCCTGAACTGCAAAGGAAGTTGCATTCTCGGCGTCAGGAACCACCAACCCATCCGCATCCACCACCTCCACCGTCAGAAAAGACAAATCATCTCCATCACCCTCGATCTCGGCTCGATCCGCAGTCACTCTCAACCCCACAGCCTTCCCCGTCGTTTTCAGCACCGACATCGCCCATTCCTCTCCCCACTTCCACGTCACAACCTTTACCTCACCAGGCTGATACACCACTTCGTCCCACCTAAACCGATACTCCTCTCCCTTCTTACGTACCCTCTTCCCCTGCGACACCCCGTTCACCCACATCTCCGCCTCATCCGCACTACTATACGCATGCAACGCCGTCACCTGCCCCTCCCTTTTACCTTGCCAATTCCAATGTCCCACAATCCTCACACTCTTCACCTCCGGCCTCCAGCGACTCTGATACAGCCAGAAACGATCCTTCTTGAACCCAGCAAGATCCACAATGCCAAAGTATGAGCTCCTCGCGGTGTAGTACGGCGTCGGCTCGCCCAGGTAGTCGAATCCCGTCCAAACGAACTCCCCTCCCACGAACGGGTGGGCGTCCTGCGCGCGGAACACCTTGTCAGGGGATGCGCCGAAGGGGGTGGAGTAGAGATCGTGCGAGGAGACCTGGCGGAGCGTGGGAGAGGAGGAATTGTACTTGTAGGTTGCCACCCAGTTGGCGTCCAGATTCGCGTTGGGGAGGTGGACTTGCGGGGCGGAAGAGAGGTTTGCGACGGGGAAGAAGTAGGTGCCGCGGGTGCTGATGGTGGCGGCGGATTCGGAGGCGAGGATGAGGGCGGAGGGGAAGGCTTTGTGGAAGTCGGGGTAGATCGGGGGCGTGCGGGTACCGGGGAAGGGAGCGTACGGCCCGGTGTCGCGGATACCTTCGCCTTGGTAGTTGATGCTGAGGACGTCGAGGGCGGACGCGAAGGGGTGGTGCGGCTTGGCGACGTTCATGGAGGCGGTGCTGCCGCGGGTGGGGTCTTCGGAATGGACGATTGCGCTGAGGGTGTTGGCGATGGGCGCGGTGTCGTCGGTTTGCTCGCCGACTTCGTTGCCGGTGCTCCAAGCGAAGATGGAGGGGTGGTTACGGTCGCGGCGCAGCATGGAGCGCATATCTGCTTCGGCCCAGTCAGCAAAAATGAGGTGGAAGTCGTTGGGGTTTTTGGATTTGGCCCAGCAGTCGAAGGATTCATCAATGACGAGGAAACCCATCTCGTCAGCGAGGTCGAGCAGCTCGGGCGCGGGGGGGTTGTGCGCCATGCGCAGCGCGTTGACGCCCAGCTCGGCCAGGATTTCAAGCTGGCGCTGCGCGGCGCGGCGGTTGAATGCCCCGCCAAGCGCGCCGAGGTCATGGTGCTGGTTGACACCTTGGAGGTAGATGCGTTGCCCGTTGACGAAAAGCCCGGTGCCCGTGGCGTTGAAGGCGCGGATGCCGAACCGGGTCGAGTACGTGTCGATGGTCTGGTTGTCGACGACGAGGCGTGTGACTGCGACGTGCAAGTGTGGGGTCTGGCTCGGTGATGGACCCCAGAGCTGAGGATTTTGAATGGTGAGTGACGTGTTGACCGTCTGTTTCTGGCCAGCTGAGATGGTCAGTGTCTGCAGAGGGAAGGAGCCAACCGCTGTTCCTGGTTTGCGGGTCTTCGGGTCGAAGTAATGCACGTCAGTCAGCACTTGGACAGTGCGAGCTGTTTTGGCGCTGTTTTCGACTTGCACCGACAGCTGGACCGTTGCCTTCTCCGCCGTCGCCCCCTCTGTCGTGATGAAGGTACCCCATTGAGCAACGTGGGTTTCGTCGACCTTGGTCATCCAGACGTCTCGATAGATGCCGCCGCCCGGGTACCACCGCGAAGATTGGATCGGATTGTCTAAGCGTATGGCCAGCTGATTGTAACTCCCCGTCTTCACATACGGCGTGAGGTCGACCCGGAACGAATTGTAGCCAAACGGCCAGCCACCCACCAAATTGTTGTTGATCCACACGATCGCATACGACATTGCACCGTCGATATCGAGGTAAATTTTCTTGCCTTCGTCCTCGGGGTAGATGGTGAACTTGCGCCGGTACCAACCGATGCCGTGGATTGGCAAACGGCCCATTCCACCCCCGACGATGACGCCATCTCCGGTGTAGAAAGGACCCTTGACGGCCCAGTCATGAGGCAGCTCAACCTGTTCCCAGCTGCTATCGTTGTAAGTCAAACTGAGATAGGGAATGCTGGCGATTGGCTTGGCCGAAGGGGCTTTGTAATGTTTTGCTGGGTCGCGGATGAAGTTATTGGCCGAGGGGAGGATCCACGGTTTTAACACCTGTGCTGTGCCGGGCGTGTCCTGGCGTTTGTCGTAGACAACACCATCGGGATTCGCCTCCCAACGCTTGAAGCGCCAGTATTGGTTGAGCCTGATGCGCTCACGACCTGACGCATCCACAGTGCCAAGCGTCAACAGGACGCTCAGTACGACTGTTCGAAGGGACAACATCTCTGCCGTAGAGGTGGTGCACTGTAGGCCCGATCACGAGATATGGATAGCCTCAAGTTGTCACATCATCTTGCATCTTATGTTTTATTGACAAATTGGAGAAGGGGGTGCAGAGTATTTCTCGTCGCGATATATTTCGCCGACTACCCCGCCCGGCTCCGGGAGCCAGAAAAGACTCCATTCGCGTTACCAGCCGGAGGGGTAAAAAGCTGGGACCAACTCCGACCAATAAATGGCGAACCGTCCAATCAATACTACTGATCACAACCCTGCGTTTTAGCACTCATTGGAGGAGAATTCCCCTCCGTCCCATTCAGGCTTCCCCAATACAACATCACTTCTTGCAAGTCTACTCCCGAGGCTGCCAAGAGATCGATCGTCGCTTACTATTTCTTCACGTGTTGCAGCCTCACGAACGCAAGGGCCATGATGGCGAACGACTTCACGAAACTGAGTCGGAGACTTACTCCATGCTCAAACACCTTGCCTTCCTAGCCCTGGCTGGCCTCTCCGCCAGCCAAGACTGCTCCGCCCTCCCCTCGACCATCAACTACGCCGGCCACCCCCTCAAGCTCCCCGACCCTTTCACCTTCCTCAACGGCACCAAAGTAACCACACTCGCCGACTGGGCCTGCCGCCGCTCCGAAATCTCCTCCCTCCTCCAACGCTACGAGCTCGGCCCCCTCCCCCCAGGAACCCCCACCGTCGCCGCCACCCTCACCTCCAACCGCCTCACCATCACCATCACCACCTCCTCCCGCACCATCACCATAACTCCCACCATCCGCCTCCCCACCTCCGGCTCCCCCCCTTTCCCCGCCGTCATCGCCCTAGGCGGCTCCCCCTCCCTCCCCATCCCCTCCTCCGTCGCCGTCATCTCCTACAACAACGAAGAAATCGCCGCCACCGACCCCCGCGGCCGCGGCAAGTTCTTCGACCTCTACGGAACCGCTACAAAAACCGGCGGCCTCCTCGCCTGGTCCTGGGGCGTCTCCCGCATCCTCGACGCGCTCGAACTCCTCGGTTCCTCCCTTACCAAAATCGACACCAAACGCATAGCCGTAACCGGCTGCTCCCGCAACGGCAAAGGCGCCATGGTATCCGGTGCATTCGACACTCGCATCGCGCTAACCCTCCCGCAAGAAGGCGGCACCGGCGCGATGGGATGCTGGAGAATAGTAGGTGAGATGAAGCGTAATGGCTCCAAGACGGAAGACGCAGCGCAGATTGTCACAGGGGATCAATGGTTCGCAAAGGAATTTGAGAATTATACTGACGAAAAGGGCTTGGCGAAATTGCCGTTTGATCATCACTTGTTGGCGGGAATGATTGCGCCGAGGGGGTTGTTGGTTGTGGAGAATAGCGGGATTGAGTATCTTGCGCCGCCTAGTGCGGTGGGTTGTGCGACGGCGGGGAGGATGGTGTTTGAGGGGTTGGGGGCTACGGGGAACATGGGGTTTTCGCAGGCGGCGCATGGGAGTTCGCATTGTAGGTTGCCGGGGGTGTTGGAGGGGGATGTGAGGGCGTTTGTGGAGAGGTTTTTGCTGGGAGGGGTGGCGAAGGAGGTGTGGAGGGTGGATGAGGGGGTGAGGGTGGATGTGGGGAGGTATGTAGATTGGAAGGTTGTGAAGTTGGGGTGAGGAAGGTGTGAGGGGGTCACTTTTGACAATTTTGGGGGTAGGCAATCGTCTTCGATATCTTTTTCATTTAGCGCGCGATGTCAGAATTCTTCTCCGCATTGACGCGATATATCCCGGTTTTCAGGACACTCTTATCGCGATGCTTCATTGACCACTAACTCAACCCGCTCCGCCTCTCCCTGTCCGCCCTGGCTCTCGCTCCCACTAGCAGCATAGACTACCACCTGATTGACCCGCTTCAAAATTTTGGGTCCCTTCCCTCTCTTGAGTCGACCCGTCTCGGTATCGCCACTAGACCTGCTGTCACCCACAGCCTCAACTACATCCGTCTTGAAAAGAAAGTCAAAGGCCGGAAACGACGATATGACGAAGCTGGCACCCGACGACCACGGCGCAAAAAGCCAGAACAGGGCGACCCACAGCGTCAACACC